GCGGGCGCAGGTGCTGCCCCGGCGCGTTCTCCGCGCTGCGGGACTTTTCCCGAGGCGGGCGGAGCGGAGCCTCCCGGGGGGGCCGCGGAACCACCTCGGAGCGGCCGCGGGGGCTCCGAGCGCTGCCGGCGGGGCCGGGCCCGCCCGAGCAGCCGGGCTGTCCCGGCGGGGACTGGCTTCACCGGCTGGAGGTGCCGCAGGTCCCAGCGAAATGGAACGGGGAGGAAATACCCCCCAGGAGCCCCTACCCCGGGTGTCCCGAGTAGCGGGACCGAGCGGGCGCTGCGTCCCTGCCGTCCCCGGCTCACACGTGGGCTCCTGCACGGCGTGCTTTTCCTACAGGGAAAATCCCTGGGGTCACATCAGTAGCAGAGGTGAAACCTTCTAGAATGAGTCCCAAGGGCACTGGGAAGGTTTTTGACTCTGTATCTTGTATATTCCATTTGTAGAGATATTTTTTTATTCAATCTGTAGCAGTGCAATGTCAGACTGTCTTATGTGTTCCCCAGATGCGATCAGCAGTAATCAGTTCTTAGGGTTTGCATTTTTTAAGTAAATAATTGGGCTGGAACAGTTGTTGCTGGATCTCCAGCATCCCCAGCATACTGCGGGGAACAAGAATGGGGTGTTTTGGTGCAGGATGCTAAAACAGGGTAGAAAATCATTATACAGACTCTTGGGGGCATGTTAATTAAGAGCATTCACACAATAAAGTGTCAGGTTCTTATTTACATATATGTAGCTCTGATAACCTTCTCAGCATCTCCATATTGCATTAGTTAATTTGTTTGTTCTCACAAACATTTGAAAGTTTTCTATTATAAAAGGGACCTTCAGTTCTATCTGCTGTAGTTAAATGTTTCATAATAGGTTTGCAGCGGAGTGTGTAACATGTAGGATGGACTGAGTGGTCTTGCAGATAGATACAAGACATGGTCAGGTTGGACTTCTCTACCTTTAATTTCTTAGGTTAGCTTTTAATTCAATTTCATTTCTTTGCAGAATGTTACTTTGTTAAGGAGTTTTTATGCAACAAGGCAACAAAAGGCACAAGGTAAAATGCCAAAGCTCTGCTTTAAGCTTATAATTTTCTGTGTGATGAGTTAAATTGTTGTTTCTGCCTGAAGATTTGCCTGTTCAAACACTTTTTCCACATGCAAAACAACCATGGTTAAAAAAACTCAAAGTAGTGAATAAATAAATTGATTTTTTTTTTTAAAGAAAGTGATATTTTGAAGATTCCTTGGCCATACTTGGCCTGAACTCACTCTGAGGACGATGGGTTGTAAATGCAGGAGATGAGCAGTACTAACCGTAGTCATGACCTACACTGAGTACCTACAGTTAACATTTCACATGGGTATCTCAACACAGGATTTATATATCAACAAGTAGAAGCTTTGATCTAAGTGCAGTTAAAGGAATTTATTGTGTCTATTTGAGACACATACTGTGCTCATCATTATTCTCATTCACGTTGCAAATCTGATTTACTCTCTCCTATAATAAAATAAAAGGTATTCACCTATTTTGCATCAAACTGCTGCTTTATCTTCCTTTCCTCTGTGGACTTACTGGTTGTGCTGATAAGCTGTGCCTGGATTTCCTCTTCAGTTTTACTCTCTCTCATGGAAATCAGCTGAGTCTCTCTCTATGGGTTATGAATTTGGGCAGGACTGTGCCTGTATTTCCCCAGGTAGGAGCTGCTTTTGACCTGTTTGACCATACTTTGCAATTAATCTTGTTTTCCCTGTACTTGTGTTTATCTACACTCGGTTCACTTTAGTCTTGATTGTTTCTAGAGTGTCTTGTCATTTTGAATCACTTTGTCATTGTTACAATGGGCTTTGTTTATGAACCCTCCTTTTCTCCCTCTAAAGTTATCTCTATAATTTCACCAGATGGCAATTCAAGTACCAGACTTTTCTCTCAATCATTAGAAGGTTCAGCCTTTCTCTCCTTATCTGTCTCTAGTTCACACTGGACACATTTGAGAGAACTCTTTCAGGTGTTCCTTAGGAAGGTGTTTGCAGTGGCTGTTCTGTCAGTCACACCTAGAATCCAATCATCCTCATGGCTGTGATTTCACTTTGACTTTTCATATCCAAACTGGGTCAAAATTCTTCTGATTTTTTTTTCCTTACCTGCCCAGCATGTCTGTTGTTCTCATCACTCTTTGTCCTTGTTTCTATCATCTAACTTGTTACTTCAACTCCAAGGTAAAGTCCATCCTAGACAAAAGCCATCGTATCTCCTTAATGAGTACCGCCCAAACATCATCTTACATGTTTCTCTTTTCTTTCTGTCTCTTTGCTATTCCCCCTTTTAAAAAATCAAATATAAAGTTCTTCTCTTTATTTCAAATCATTCCTGACGTACCCTGAATATAACTTTGGTGAGATTAAATAATTGTCTTTCTGTTCAGACTGAGTGAGTTGGTGCTGTTTACTGAATTTCAAACAAGCAACTTTAGGATTTTTCCATGAATACTTTTCCTGATGCTTGGAAGGTGCTGTATAAATCCATGAAATCACTTCAATCTTCATTTTCAAAAGCTTTAATTTCTCCATAGTCTTAAAAAAAAAAAAAAAAGTTAGAAGACATTTGCTGAGAGTATTCCATGTGTACCTGGAATTTTCAAAAATGTGAAAAGGAGGGGGGGGGAAAAATGTGCTGTTTTGTTACACTAATGGGTGTTGCATAAAAAAATTACAGGTGGATCAGTGTTTAGTAACTTATTTGTCTTCCAGACATTGTACCTCTGATTTTACATTCTGTGTCTTTACTACTTTCCAGAATATTTCTGTACTGCGGTGTAGGTGAGAGAACAGAGTAGGGCATGTTGAATGGGAGCAGTAGCTGATAAATAAAAGGACTGAGTAAGATATTAAACTAATATTTCAAATTACAGTAGATAAAAATATCTTGAATGTTTGTAAAAGTGCTTTTGGCTCATGTCTCTTTAAATCTAACAGTTAAGGGATTGTAACAAGTAAGATATTTGGGAAACTGTTTCCATAGTTTAAATCAGATTTAGCCAGAGGAAGTTCAATTGTGTTCTTGTATTTCACTGGTCAGTTGTTTTCCCTTACCAGATCGGGGTGCAGAGCAGTACTTACACATAAGACAGAGTTGGTTTTTGATGGGGATACTCATGAAAGTCCAACATCAATGCAGGCTGGTTTCTGCATACACAGGTTTCTGTGTCACACAGAGAATTAGCTGGATTTTGTCAGGAGTCTGCTTTTTAACTCGCTTTTTTATTTTTTTAATTTTTTTTTTGGAACCCTGGAAAGTGTCCTGGTCTTTATTTCTGAAACATGACTCCTCCTGAGGATGGCTGGGCTGTTCTCTGAAGGCAGCCTTGGCAAAGCTGTATCAGTTGCTGACCTTGCCCAGATCAAATTAGGTTTTTAAGCTTTGAGCAGTCTAAGAGAAGATCCCTCCTCTCTTGTTCTCATAGGCAATCTTTATTACTTTCTAAAGTGTTATCACTGGCTTGTTAGTCTAATTTAGAGATAGAGGGATATTTAATATTGTTTGGAAAATAATCTGGAAGTTTATATCTCCTTGAAGGTAACTTTCATAACCGTGAACGTGTTCAGTGTGTTTAAAAAAATCCCAGAATACTTGGTATTGCACTGTGGGATTTGCAGCTCTCCCTTCAAACCAGCTCTTGGATGAGCTCAGTATTCTGCACAAGACCTTAATTTTAGAGGAGCATCTCAGCAACTCTCTCATGATATGGACTTGAATAATATACAAAGGTGCAAAATTATATAGAGCCCACTTTTAGTGAAGTTATTTTTGAAGTGTCTAATTTCCTGAATAGAATTAAGACCTGGTTCCTGTTTCCTTCTCCCAGTGTGGATTTCTGTCACTAGCTAATTCTTTTACTAGGAACATGTTCCGGAAAGGGTTTGGGCATCTGCTACTCCCATTACTTGAAATTTACTGAAAAATTTAAAGAAAAAAGGCAATTTGTTGTCAATAAAAAACCTTTTACCATCCTTTGCATTGTTCTTTATCAAGAGGTGCTTGGTTTTTTGTTTTTCTTTTCCTAAAGAGTTGACTAAAAGGGTTTGCATTGCTGTCTTTGAAATTTAAGACAAAGTTAGCACTAAATCATGAGTTAACCTTCAGTTTGGAGTAGCTGCATCACCTGATCAGACATATTTTAGTAATTTTTCTGACTGAATTTTCACTCTGTTAGAGGAATTTGTGTAAGAGGGTCAGTAATCAACAGTCTGGGGAGAAATAAAGTGTTATTTTGAAGTCCAAGAAAACAAAAAGCA